ACACAGCCAACAAATCGAGGCTGGGGTATCCCACGCACACATGGCCTTTCCTTCACTGAGGAGACATGGCCAGAACTCAGGGCAGCCGTGATGGAGGAGCCACTGGGAAGATGCTGCTGTCTCCAGGTTCACTCCTGGAGTTGAAGCTCCAACTCCCACTCCCTGCAGACCTACCCAGAGCAGGACCCAGCTGTGGCTGCTGCTGCACCGCAGCTCTTTGAGCACTGAGGATGAGAGCGTGGCATCAGCACAGTGTGAGCACCTTGGGTGTGCACAGGGACAGCTGGATGATGCAAAATGACTGCCAAGATGTCACCCTCAAGGCAAGAAAAACCCAACAGACCTTTAACCATCCTACTGCCATTAAGCTCAATAGACGTGAATGTCCGCCTGTGTAAGCTTTGCTGCAGGTATCCAGCCTTGACCACAGCCTGCAACCTCAGCTGCACTTCTTCATCCAAGAAAGCAGCCAGTGGAGCTTTTGGCATAGCACAGTCCTGGGAGAAGGTTCCTGTGGTAGCCAAGAGCCTGAGGAGGGGTCCCTGTGCACGCACTGCACGTAGGCTGCTGCCACCGAGCTGTTCCCCTGGGACACCTGGACAAAAGTTCCTTTTCTCCATGCACTGTCTCTGGCACCAACAGTGCTGCTACCAGATGCTTTTGGAAACAGCAAATGAAGGGGCAATACTACTGTGTATAGCTATTCACTGTCAGCTAGCCTGTATAGGACTCCTGCCTTTCTTAGCCTTTATTCAATGATCTCCTTGCCCTGTATTTGTGAATTTCTATTTCCTCTGCATTTTGCTTTTAGCAGTATAACATAGTTGGGCTTCACCTCCTGAGCATGGCACTCAGAGTGACTCAGAAACCTGCAATCTGCTTCAAAACAAAGCATTTAAAATAAAATATATAAGCAGTAATGGAGCTATTCAGCTCAGGAGCAGAAATGCTAGAGGGTTCCTCATGTGCTCACAAACCTTCTAACCTTCCTTCAGCTTTTTTTAACCCCTGCAAACCCAGGGCAAGGCAGGCTGCAAGTAAGAGCTGATGTGTCATTTCAGATATGCTTCCACTCCAGTGTGCAAAGCCTGGAGCTGGGAAATGGAAGAGCTCTGATGCCAGCACCGATGACATGGAAGGGGGAGCCAAGCTCTCACTCCACGGCCTCCAAAGTGCTCTTATTTCTGCTGGTTAAACAGATGCCAGCTTCTGAGGGGATTATGTGTCATAGAGCCTGTTGGCTGTGACAACTAATTATCTTTCACAACAGTTTGGCCTTGAGATTTTCAGCTCAAAGGGCATACCAGCAGTGCTGCCATCCAGCACCATGTGTGGCATTTTGTCCCCATTTGGGTTTCCCTGTTGCTAAAGAGGTGGCACCCCCAAAGTACACCGTCCTCCCCCAACTAAACTCACACCAGCAGGTCCTTCCTTCCAAGCAGCACGGGCAGGGTGCACCAGCACTCCAGTGAAACCTCAGAGATGCTTCCAGCAGGAGCCCAGGAGAACAAGCAGCAGCTAAAATCAGCTCAGCATCCAAACAGCAGCCTGGCTGATCCTCCCATTCCACAGCTGGCTGTTAGTGTGGCAGCCATGCCATGGCACACTCCTCCAGCTGAGCTTCACAGGCTGCACACACCAACAGGGTCCAGCTCAGCTGCAGCCAAGTGCAGGGGAAAAAATATCTGCCACAGCCCGAGTCTCTTTCTAGGGCAGAGCAGCCAAAGATTTAAACAGTTTTGGAATGTAGCCTCAAAACCAGCACTGAAAATGTTTTGTAACTTCATATAAATTGATGGCTGACCCCCATCGAGACTCCCAGGAACAGATGAAAAGCAGACCCAGACAACTGAAAGAATTTAATTCATTGAGAAACACATAGAGTGCTGGGAAAGACTGGAGATGAGGAAAGAGATGAAGAGAGGAGTTAACAGTAAAGGCAAAGTGTGTATTGGCAAGCAGGTACTGGAGCTGGGGTGCCCAGCAGCCAGGCTGGAGGCATTGGTGTGGGATTGACATCAAGGTTCTAGACTTGCAGAGCTCAGCTCACCTGCAGCCAGAAAAGGTTGGGTACTGGGGGTACTGAGTACTCTTCTGCCAAGCACCAGTTAAGCCCTGGGAAGCAGGTGCTAGAGGGCCCTCAGCCGAGGTTCCTATGGAGATATCCCAGCTGGGATCACAAACTGGATGTTGTCAGGTAGGAGAGGGTAGATGGGATGGATCCTGCTTGGCTCTCCCATCTCTCTGTCATCTCACTATCATCTTGCCCTCTCAAGAGGCTGGCAAGCTGTACCAGCTTCCCCAAACCCCTGATCCCCCAGAGAACTCAGCTGGAGCCAGACACGAGGCTGCATCACAAGGGAAGGGAGGCAAGGCCTTCCAAGCCTCAGAGCCAGGTTGAATGCAGGACCAAATCAAACCTGGAGCTGACTTGCTGTCAGGCAGCCCAGGGGAATGCTGTGTGGGAGAGCCATGGACTGGGCATGCTGTAGTGAGTGAGAATGCCCTGAAATCCCAGCGCACAGCCCAGGGTTTAGGTGATGCTGCCATTCACCAGCAAATCGTGGCAGGTTGAAAGCAGCAATTACAGAAACGAGCTTCTCCATCACTGCGCTGCTGAAGACCTGAGTCCTTTGGCCAGTTTGCAGTAAATTTCGTTTGCTGCACTCCCAGGATAAAAGGAGGATCTCAAAAGCAAGAACAATTAATGGAGGATGTTAAATTGAAGAGAGTTTGGTCATCAGAAAATGCAGAAAATTAAGAAGGAGGAAGTGATAAAGGATTTCAGGATACTGCCAAGAGCTGCAAGAGGAAAAGAAAATCCCCCCTCTTACACCTCAGCTTTTTAATATCACCTTGAAGTTCCTGAGGACAGAGGAGAGCCTGAGTCTCTGAATACCAGCACTGCAGAGCTGCCTCAGTCTGCAGGGCCCTGTGAAGAGATGCAGCTGTCTCTTAAATAACAGCAGTTGACACCAGTTGTGAATAGATGAGTGATCGTGGCTTCAGCCGTCACAGCCCAGGATCTGATTTCAAATGAAGCCCCATTCATCCATCCAGTGCCCATCACAGGGTTATTAAAGGAGTATCTGTCACAAACCACAATGCCTTTAAATGCTTGAAAAGGGCACAACAAAAATAAGCCTGCTTAGCTTATATACTTTCCTCTGGATGACGTGATTCTTGGAATTGTTTAGCAAAAATAAATTATAAATATGACGGGTAGGGAAAATACATGATATGAGCAGGGTGAGGTTTGTATTTGACCTTAGTGTAGAGTTTGGCTGTCTGTTTGTTGTTCCAGGCTCTGGGGTTAGGCATGAGAGACAGTGGCAGGGAGTTTTGTTGGGTAGCAGAGTGCACAGCCCCAGCTCCCCAGGCGTCCTGCTCCAGAGCCCTGGCTCAGTGCACTCCCTCCAGGACACAAGAGGAAAGCCATTCCTGGTTTGGATGCAGCTGGGATAGCATCTCCAGCAGCAGGTCAGGGCCAAGTTCAGGCCAAATGAGATGTGGTATGGCAAGGCAAATAAGGGGTGTTGGTTTGGTTACTCATCAGGACTAAATCCATGTTCTGTGTTTAAAAAACATTGCTTTTAGCTAAACTGAAAGTTAAGCATAGACATCATGTATATGTCTTGAGTGAATGGTTCCAGCTCATACAATCTCACACTCACCAGCAAACTCTTACATGAGACAACAAAGTCTTTTTCTTCTCTGCAACTGTGCAGCTCCTCTTACTACTTTTTATTCTCTGCCTGTTGCACTGGGCAAAACTGCCATCTTCTGGCACCTGAATAGGGACCCTCCTGTCCTGCCACCAGCAGGTCACCTCCTGCCCCACTGCCTCTCTGGGTGATATGCAGGCACAGGGATCAAAGGAAAAGTTCACTGTTCATGCACAGACGTGCTCTATTATATTCACAGTATATTGAAAGCATCTCAGAGCATTAGATTGATGCTCCTGGGGCCAGAGGTGGACATTTATGCCCTGTAATGCACATCAAACCCCTTTTAAGAGAAACTGGAGTGTCTGCGTTCAGGCTTAATGGTGGTGAGAAAGACTGTGCTGTGTAATGCAGGTCTGTGTTTATAATTCATATTAAATGGTAATACAGATTCCTCTTTTCTTTATAAATTGTTTTTAAAATTGTCTTAAATGTGGATGGGAAACTGGATTGTGGTCATATGTGCAAAGATATTGGGTTCCTCTACATAAACGTTTCATGCCAAAAGACAGGACTTCCTACCCCAAGTTTCAGTCTAGAGAGGCATTGCCTGTGTTCATAGATTTTAAGCCTAAAGCAGAATAAAGTTACATGTTTTAAACTGTCCAAGCATTTTAGAAAGGTAAATCTCCTCTCTGTTCCCCCAAATCCCCAATTTGTCACCATTTAAGTGGAGTCCTGGATTCTTTCCAAGAGGTGCATCTCGTGCAGCCCCAGCCCTGTGCTGGGTTTCAAACTGAAGCAGTGACTCACCTGTGCAGATTCATCTCCCTTCATTTGAGCTGACTGAAAGCAAGGCATGGCATGTCCCTCCCTCCCTTCCCAGCACAGAAGGCAGGTCCAAAGGGGACTCGACCTGTATGTTCTGGGAGCAAGACCTGTATGCTGCAGCTCTTATCTGAATAAACCCTGGCAGAAACAGGTTTTGTGTACAGATCCAGCACAATGGACTGATTTGGACCCTTGTTCCTCGGGGAATAAAAATAGCAAGTTAATATTAAAACTGTGTATTTTCACAGATTGCAGGCGGCACTCACAACACACCATGCTTAATTTCCTGCTTTCAGTTCCCTATCAGATTTTATGCTTAGCTTACTGAGGTTTGTTTTTCCCCAGAATAGGATATTTTTTTTCCTTTAGCTACAATACATTCAGCCATGAAAAATGAGATTGAAAAAGATTAATAGGAAGCTGAAGGATTCATCTGAGATTGACAAAGATTAATGTGTGTCTTATTCTTAGCTGTTTTCTTTTCCTTTTCCCTTCTTCTCTTAGCTACCTAGACAGCTTAGATCGAATTGGAGCTGCAGACTACCAGCCCACGGAGCAGGATATCCTCCGAACCAGGGTCAAAACAACTGGCATCGTAGAAACCCATTTCACATTCAAAAACCTCCACTTCAGGTTAGTCTAAAACTGTACAGTAAATTTGCAGAACAAATATTTATCACAGGGCTTCCCCATAGTTCCTAAAGGAGAAGTTGTTAAATTGCTGGTTAATGCATGGGCAGCTCCCACTGCAGAAGACACAGCATTTTGGAGGGTCAACAAAATGAAAAGTTTGGCAATCCTGTCTTGAAAGTCACTGCCTGTTATGATAGAACATGGCAGCTTCTTCTAACCCAAACAACACCTCTTTGTTGGAATGTATAATACAAGACTGATCCCCAAATGTGATCAAACCTCATAAATGTAAAAATATTTGGCCAGATCTTTTCTCTTAAGTGGGTCAGTGACATGTAGTTAACACAATACATTGACCCTCATGATGCCATCCAGTAGAGAGAAGAGGGCACAACGACAGAAAGCCACACAAAAACAGTATTTAGAGCATATGAAAGTCAAGAATGTGTGTTCTCCACCTCTACTGATCCTTTGGGATCCAGCACTCTGCTAAGGCTCTCCCATGGATCCCCACATCCCTGTCTGTAACTGCTCCTCCTGGCTCTCCTCAGCTGCAAGCTCTGGAGGAGAAGACCAAGCTAGCAGTGAAAGACCCACTGCTTTGTGCTTGGATCCTCCCAGGACCCACATGGTCAGAGAATGCCCAGAATGCTCAAGTTCTCTGATAGCTGGGGAGGAGTGGGTGGTGATGGTGCTCCCCTGTGCCGCAGGCTCTTCGATGTCGGGGGCCAGCGGTCAGAGCGCAAGAAGTGGATCCACTGCTTTGAGGATGTCACAGCGATCATCTTCTGTGTCGCGCTGAGTGGCTACGACCAGGTGCTCCATGAAGACGAAACCACGGTGAGTCTAAGTGGGTCTTGGAGGCCCCAACAGCTCTGTGTGGGATACTGCATAGCCAGCAACTCCTCAGAGATCATGGAATGCTCCCTGGGGTGCTACAGCAATGTGCTTTTGTCCATTGCTCCCCCTTGGCTCTGAATCCTGGGGAGAGCTCTCCTTCTTCGTGTTCTTTGATACGAAGTCTGCATACCCAGGTAATGCTTCCTTACACTGGTAAAGGCAAAGTGTTTGCTTCTCCTTTCTAGCCAACCTGTGTTCTCAAAATGCATAACAGGAGCCTATAACCAGCAAGAGGATACAGCTGGGTGTGCTTTAAAACAGGGAAGCAGTCAGGCCGTGGTGCAGAGGTGCAGGACAGCAGTGCACGCCCAGGGCTCAGCCCAGGAATATAACCTATTTAGGCTACAGAAATTCGTTTTCTTTAGTGAGAATGAAACTGTTCAAGTCTTCAGGTAATTTGCTCTAGGAGAGATTTATGACTTCCCACTGTGACGTTAGGCTCAAAATACCATCTGGAAATAAAGCTGGTGAGGACCTGTGTGCTCCCTGGTATTAGAATGCAATTAATACAAGTTACTTGAATACACAAAAAAGGATGCAGTAAGACTCATTACTGTATTCTGATCATCCATTCAGTATGATGGGGATGCATGTTTTTGGGACTAAGGACAGCTGCTGTGGGCACCCAGTTACATTTGTCTAATGAAAAGGAATTGGAGGCCATACTCAGTAATGATTTCATTGGTGCCCAATCTGCAGCAGCAGCATGGAGTGCTTGCTCCTGCCAGCTCTGTCTTTCTGAGGCTTTTTATTCTCCTGCTGGTAAAGATTTCAGGCTTGCAGAAAGCTGTGGATGAATTCAATGGAAATGCTGCTGTTAGGTGACATTTTTCTTGTCCCAAAAAGACTGGGGGGGCTGTGGTTTCTTGCCTCTGAGCCAGGTTTATGAGCTCTAGCAAACTCTTTGATGAAATCACCTGGTTGTTTGAATCATATCGATGCCAGAATTCTGGATGATGTTAACCTTACCAGTCACAGGACTGGTAACAGCATGAAGCATGTGTCAAAGAGAAGTTCAGGCTGGAAATTAGGAAAAGGTTCTTCACCCAGAGTGTGGTCAGGCACTGGAACAGGTTCACCAGGGAAGTGGTCACAGCACCAAGCCTGACAGAGTTCAAGAAGCATTTTGACAATGCTCTCAGGCACATGGTGTGACTCTTGGGGTTGTTCTGTGCAGGACCAGGAGTTGGACTGGATGGTCCATGTGATTCTGTGATCATGACTGTGTCTTCCTCCAGACTGACTGAGACACTCTACGTCCTGTCATGTCCACTTATTTATAATCCCCAGTTGTCTCCTCCCTCTGACCCTGGCCCTGATATGTTCAAGGATGCTCAGCCCTGGGCTGATTTACTGGGAAGGAACCAAAATCTCCTGACATGATTTGAAAAATCCAGCCATTAGCTCAACACTGTAGAGCTCTGCAGCTGGGCAGCAAAATCAGCCAGGAGACACAAAAGAGCACAGAGGGAGAGGGCAGGTCCAGGAGCAGGGAGCAAAGCTGTGATATGAGTAGAGAGCAAGGTGCTCTGTAAGTACAGCTTGATTGTGACACTCAAATTGTGAAGCCAAAGGCAGCTTTTAATACAGGTCACCTTTGGGTGCCCATCCCCACAAGTCAGAGCCTGTGATTCAAAGCCATGGAGCACAAAATGGAATGGCCTGAATGCCAATGCCATTTGTTAAATGTCAGCCTTTACTCTGCTCCTCTGAACTGGAGGTTGGAGCATCTCTCCTGGGGAGAGCCCTGCCAGTGATTGTCCCTCACCAGCACCACCCCGGAGCCAGCTCAGCCTGCCCCCTGAAGTGCCGCGCTGCAGAAACTGGGATTTATGCATCTCCAACTTTCCCTCTGCAGCAGGAGAGCAGCCTGGTGCAGCTCTGGCACAGCACTGACATTTGCTTGCTATTTCAGTCCCTGTTCACAACACATTTTGGGGGATGCTGAGCAACAGGAGGGCAGAGGCAGCTGCTGCTCATTTACACATTCGGCGTAAACGGGGAAAGCATTCGGCATCACCACCACGCCGGCAGGACGCCCCTGCCTAACCCAAATAAACAGCCCTGAGCAAGGCCAGTGCACTCAGGAAAAAACAGTGGTGTTGGATCTTGCCTGCCCTATTATATCCCCATCACAAATGGCAGGTGGAGAACATGGCACCCACAGACCCTAGCCCCTCCCAGGTGAACCCCCAAGCGTTTGTCCCCTCCTTGGTAATGTGGTGCCTCCCCAAAAACCCAGCAGTAAAACAGCATCTCCTCAGTCAGCTGAGTTGCTGTCTGCATCCGTCACATCTGCTGGCTGTCGTGACGTCAATCAGCTTTTATTGCTTCTCACTTGGAAAACACAAAGAGGAGGCAGCTGAGAAAGTGAGCTGGATGCTGCTCCTCCAGCTTCATTTTTTAGAGACACTTACTACAGTCCAGGCACTTGCAGCTGTGTTGAGCCACTGAAGGTTTGGGGGCTGTACAGATGTCTACATGAGTATGAAAGGACTTGCAGAGAGCTTTCATTGCTGGCATGGAGCCATGAGAATGAAAGAACCCAACTGCCTATCAGGGTCCAAAAAACCCCTTCCAAAGCTGGGTGCATGTAGAGAATGGGTTTTCCTCTTGCACTCAGCACCCTGTTGTCAATGAGCACAGGATTTCACAGGTGCTTTTTGCATTTCTCTAAGTCAAACCACACTTCAGGTGGAGGAAACTGCAGTTCAGATGCAGTCAGCATCACATGGACCAGAGACAGGCTCACCTTGGTAAGGTCCAGGTGGGACAAGTGTAGGGTCAGCTTGTGTCACTGGAAAAAGCTCACAAACAGGTTTATTGTGAATCCTTTCCACAGAGCTGGTTAAACAAGGCTGGGTGAAGCACTCTCTGACCTGTCCCTGCCCTTAAAATTCAAACACAGCTCTATGTTTGTAAAGTTGTTTTGTGGGTTATTGTGCTCTTTGTTTTAAAAGACTGAGCACCCATCCTCCAGCAGCAGCTAAAACAAGACCGTTGTGTTTAAAGCTATCCCTGCTTCTTAAGGGCAGGCAATCTTTTATAAGGGATGTATTTTCTCTCTAATTCCCTGTTACAAAGAGCCACACAGCAGGAGTTGAGCAAAGCAAGTACTCTCCTATGTCCAGATCAGAAAGGCATAAAGAAAATAAAAAAAACTTTCTGCATCTGTGATTTTTAGGCCCATACACCCGTAAGATCACACTTTTCACAGAAGCTCCCAGTACTGCTGAATCCAACACCTTATGCTGCTGTTGGCAAATCTAAACTGTGTCCCTGTGTGCCCAGCTTCCAGGGGAGAGGAGCAAGGCATGAGAGAGATTCAGACAATGCCTTCATCAGTCCCATTGCTGCCAGCCACAGCCCAAGCCAGAGCTCATGTGGCAGAATGGTACCCTCTGCCCAGCCCATCCAACACACAAGGCACTGCCCTCAAGGGTGCATACCTGCCTGTACCTTTACCAAGTCCTTCACAAGGACCTGCCAGGCTCTCTGCTATATTTGTACACAGTGGGAACATCCTGCTTTAACTGGCAGAACACCTCCCTGGATTATGTCTTTGCATAAAAAGGCTGTTTCCTCTCATTTGTGACTGATCTTTTTGTTTCATAAGTTGAAGTTACAGAAGGAAAAGCCTCAGCTCTGTAATCTGGGAAGAGAGAGGGACAGTCATATCACTCAGTAAAACTAGAGGAGATGATTCACAAAGGTGTATTTCCATTGTTCTTTCTAAATGGAATTCTTAATGGAATATTTTTTAAAAACAGCGATGGAATGGGACTGCCATGGGAACTGAGACTATCCTCTGTTTTTTCACCTTGCAAATTCAAAGGAGTCATGGCAAGAGAGGGAAATGTTGATGCTGCACATTGCTGCCTCTGAAGCTAAGATATTTAGGTCAATCATTTCTAGGCAAGACATGCAAGTACTGTTTGTGTCCCTGTTGCTGAGGATGGGATGGGTGGAAGGCTCCGTGCTGGTAACCCTGGTGCATTAGTGTTGGCCTGTTGATTTGTATCACACTGCTTGACCTGGTTAGCATGCTCTCTCTGCTGTCATTGGGCAAGGAAAATAGAATTGCAGTGCTCAGAAATTGCCTTAGGAGTGACAAAGCAAGCCAAAGTGGCTTGGACATCTTAGGAAATATAAGCAGGAGGGGGAATATGGAGTTGCTGTGCTTAGGATAACCATCAGTGTCCTTACAGTTCATGTGACACCTAGCACTTAATCACCAAGAAAAACAGAAAATATTGAAAAAACTTGGTGTTGCAGAAAATACCAGGTGTCCTCCCATCCTCTGGTAAAAAAAAAAAAAAGGTTTTTATAAGTGTGTTTCTGCCTGGACAGAGTGTTGACCGCAGCATCCTTTCTCCCTCATGCTGAGTGAAAAGCTGTTTGCTCCTCACATCAGTGACAGCTATGCCATGACATCTGAACTCAGCTATCAGCAATTCTCTCTCTTGTCCTGTGCAGGAAAAGTTAACTGGACTTCGAATATGCATGGGCATGTTACTCCTGTGTAACATGTTTGTTGGAGCTACTTTTCTTGTTGGGGTATGAAATATTTGCCAGTGTAAGGATTTAAAATACCAGTTTTGAAATAGGAAGTGACATTAAGAAATTAATGTCTGAAGAGCTCTTCCCTTAATAAGAGACCCAACATAAAGTGAGAAATGGCAGCATGATGGATCCAAAAGCAGGTGAAATAATTTGTGTCACTTCATCTAAAAGTATGAGGAGCATAATCTTTAGTGCCTCCCAGCAGAATAGGCACATCTGGTCCATCACAGAAGAAAGGGGCCCCAGCCAAGTTCTAAGGGACTAAACTGATCTTCCACTGTGGATTTACTGGGAGGAGGGGGATTATATGGGGGATTTAACTTCTTATTCCTCCTTTAGCAGCAGTCTGTCCTTTTACATGTGGTACCCAGACACTGCTTCCTCATCCTTGTCTCTGCACCTGGGTCTGCCTGAGCTGTTGCAGGGCTCCTACAAACATCTATTGAACTAGTAACAGTTGGGGAGGGAAAGGAAAGGGAGATAGTGAGGATTCCTGGTGCTAGCCACCACCAGGACAGCTTGTGCCCATACATGGGCTCCCAGAAGTCCTCCTGGGATGCAACAGTATTTCCCATATGGCATCCAGGTATGACAACAGAAGCATCCATGCCTGCACACCAGAATATTGCTCTGCACCTTTGCCACACACAGAAAGGAATTTATGGCTTTTGAATAACGTCATCTTCTGGGTTTGGAATAATGTCTTCTCTTTAGTAGTGGGGAAGGAAAAGGTGGATTTTAAGACCAAAATATTTCCCACATAAATAAGGATGAGTGGGCAGAGTAGTTCATTATGTTTACTTGTCTGACTGGCAAAGCTGGAGGTAAAATCAACGTGTAGAGATCAGAAAGCCAGGTCAGACAGCCTCAGGAAGCTTTGAACCTTGTTTCTGGAATCTGAAAGGAACAGAGGTCATTCAGTGTAACCCTCATGTTGTAGTGGGATGTATTGGTTTGTGCTGTGTGTATATGATTCTGTGATTCTGTATTCTGGTTACCACTGAACACTAACAGTCACTGTTTGTTGGGAAAACAGTCTCATCTCCTAACATACACTAATGCAAATTTGTCAAATTGGATCAGAGAAGTAGGAGGATCTGCAGGATCCTTACCTAGTCTTACAACTGTAGAAAAGTTGGCTTCACCTAACCATGAAGCCCAGCTCAGAAGTCCTCAGCTTCTGTTTCTTAGACAAATTCGTTGTCGCCCGTGGTGCTCCCCATGCCATGAAGAGCAGTTTCACCCTTCTGCTCTCCACCAGGGCTGTGCAGTGTGTTGCCATGGCACGAGGCTGCCCAGGTGGCTGATGGCTGCTGCGGATGAGCTGTGGGTTTAGCCCACAAGCAGCGTTCCCATGTTTCTCCACGCTTTTAGTTTAAATCAGCAAGGATTATAAAAATGTCATTTAAAATGTTCTGTGAGGGACCCTCCTTTAAAAAATGGTTAATTGTATTCGCTTTCTGTTCCCCTGAACCACGTTCCACTTCATTCTCTCCTCCCAAAGGGTTTGAGTATCCAAGGATCTCCTGCACAAAACCTTTGTACACCAGGTTTCTATGTGGTTACAATTTTGGCACCACAAGTAGCAAAGGGGAACATTGCTCCAGGGGCTCCCACAATAGCCAGTACCAAATGGGTTAGCAAAAACCAGCCCACAGGCACAGGATGATCCAGAGAAACAACGTGTTACAACAGAGACCCAATGAGCAAATGCATTGTTTGTGTGTGATCGCGTCGTCCCTGTGTGTCGATACAAATGGTGGGGAAATGAGTGGTCATTCAAGACAGGGCACAGCAAATCACACGTGTCCTGTTTCACTTTGGGCTGGATCAGATGTTTCTTTCATCCATGGAGCTTCTTCTGTCTATATAAAACATTCAGTAGACACTAAAGCATATCAATGAAAATGAATGTGCTAATCTGTGAAGTGCTGGGCTCAACTTTATGCCAGCACAGGTGTGAAATGGAGTGGGAGAGGGGTGAAGGCCCCCAGCTGACTCATGTACCACTCCACATTCCCAAATCCAGGGCTGGGGGGAACAGGACATGCTGCACTCACCCCAAAAACCCCCCAGTAACAAGCCCGTGCAGCCCTGTTCTCTCCAGTGTCTCTGTGGCGACGGCTGTAACTGGTTTCTTACGCGCACTGGCGGGTTTGGGGAGAGCAGTCCTAAGGAGATCCCACTGGAAAAGCCGAGGAGCCGGTCTGGTCTGTACCATGCTTTGCCTTTGATAACCCCCTGACTCTTGGGTGTGCTTCATCCTCACCGCGCCTGCTCTCTGCGCTACCCGGCTCCCGGCTGAGAGATGGCCACGCGACCGGCGTGTGCGCTCCGGCGTCGGCCTCGGCGCCAAACGTCGCCAGCCTCGGCACCTCCACAGCTTTTCCTCGGCCGTCTGACCTTATCTAGCCAAACAAAGGCCAAAAAATGAGCATTTGAGAGACCAACCAAATTTGGCAGGTATGAAGCTTCTCTTGAACCGAGAAAAAAAAAAAAAAAAAAAAAAAGAAAAATCGAATTGGGAGTTGAAAGCAGCGGGGAACATGACACTTGGTTGACTTTGCCGTGAGCTCTTTCCACCACCATAAACCCATGTGGCGGGCTTTGCAACTCTCTAACTGGTCTGGTTTTTCCATTCCTCTTATCTCTCTCCTTTTCCGTGTCCTTTTTTTGCATGACCTATAACCAAAAAGCTGACTTCTCTCTGTGCGTACATTTGGATGTATGGCTCTTCTGCTAATCTTCTTCTAGAGGCATGAGCTAACACCAGTGGTAGCTGCCTGACTTCTAGTCTGGTTGTTCTTAGATGTTCTTTGTTATGTTTTTTCCTTTTTATGCTATTTTCTCTTCCTTTTTCACTTTTTTCCTCTCTGTGAGACACTTTCTGTTGAGCCGTCTTCCGAGAGAACTAAAACCAAAAAGTTCAAAAATTAAGAGCACAACAACAGAAAACACTAAACAAAATAACAAAACCAGTCAAAGGTCACGGCAAGGTCATTTCCAAAATTATGTCACCTTGATGTCTGCTTCCAACTCTAGATTAATTCAAGGATCTACCAGTCCTTGGTTAATGTTACCAGTTGTGTGCCGCACACATTCGAGAAAGTGGAAAAAACATTTTAGAAAAATTATTGAAAACATTTTAGAAAATCTGCATGAGCTACACCAACACATAAATCTGATCAAAGGGCAAAAATAATTCTCCATCCATGCATGGTGCATGATGATTTCTATGAGCTGGGATCCTGTAAATTAATGTTATGCAAAATCAAAACAGCTCTGTATTGTTAAATGCCCTTAAGTTACTAATTGTATGTCAAATGTAATAGGGATTGCATCTGTGTATGTATATGTTCAGCTGTATGTATACATAAATTTATTATGTATATTGTAGATTTTCTTTTTTGTTGCTATCCTCCTTAATTTAGTTGTTTTAGATTTCCCTACATGTTGAACATCCCTGGGTCGCTGGCTTTGGCCTGATGTGATCTTTCCTTTCTATTGCAGAACCGCATGCATGAATCTCTGAAGCTTTTTGACAGCATCTGCAACAACAAATGGTTCACAGATACTTCTATCATCCTGTTTCTAAACAAGAAGGACATATTTGAGGAGAAAATTAAGAAATCTCCACTGAGTATCTGCTTTCCTGAGTACACAGGTAATGAGAAATGTGGCTGTACAGGAGTGCTTAGCAAAGGGACCACAGAGCTCTCCGAGCCAGGCTGACGCTGTAGTGTATCACAGGCAATGAGGCTAAAGATGCAGAGCTGGAGCTCCCATTGGCTTCACTACAGGTTTTATTTCAGTAAGTGCCAAAGCATCACCCCCACCTGGCCCACTTAAAGGAGGAGGATGACTTGACCCAAGTTCTTTGCTGGCAAAGGGCCACCACCACTGATTCGGGTGTGTGATCTACACCTCACTGGTGGGTTTGATGCCAAGCCATCACCTGCAGGTCTGGGGCCGCTGTGCACTCCCCAAACCCATGTGCACTGGTTCCCTGTGTCACACAGGATCGTGAACCTTCTTGCAGGTCTCTCATAAATGGGTGACAGGAGACCAACACACAGGGTTTGTTAGGTTGTCCTCAGCTGGAGTACAGCTTTGTTCTTTCATACCCAGCCATGCTCCCTTATGGCCACAACAAGAATCCCTCTGCAGTTCCTGGCCACTTTCTCCATTTCCACTGCAGGGCTGTAGAATCATCATGATCCTAGAAACATTTATGTCCAGGCTGGATGGGGCTCTCAGCAACCTGACCTGGTTGAAGATGTTCCTGCTCACTGCAGAGGGGTTAAATTAGATGACCTTCAAAGATCCCTTCCAACCCAAACCATTCTGTGATTCCATGATCAGCCCTCCAGTATGCGCACAGCAGGTCTCACAGCTAGGCTGTTTCAACTCAAGCAGTACATTTTCATCACAGCAGTTGAAGACCCCCAGTTTTGCTCTCAGGTTTGCCGACATCAAGCGTCTGGACATGAAAACACTTCCAGTTAAATGCAGGTAGAAAACAAGGCGTTTCATATTTGATTTTCCCACACCTCTTAACCCATAGTACAGGCAGAGGAGAGCCACAGTGAGCCGTGCCCTGAGCTTGGCTGAGGAGAAGGAGGCCTTGGTGATCCGTGGAGTTGAGAGCAGGAGCTCTGGGATGGGCAGTGTGCGAGAAGCCCCCACCCCTGCTGCCTGCCTGGCATCTGACCCGCTAATGATGGGAACACATCACCCATGCAAAGGCTGCAGCTGCACCCCGCTGCTTCCCTCTGCATCTCGCCAGCTTCCACAAACCCTCATTACCATTCTGAGATGGCACAAAAATAAACTTTTATCGTCATGAATTATTTAAACTCACCGGAGACATCCAGATGAATCAAGCCGACAGACAGAGAAGCCAATCTGTTTGTCAGGAAACAGTTGTGAACCAGAAGCACCAGGAGTGTCACAGTTCTGGGCAGGCCAACAAATTATTAACCAGAGCTCCTTATCTCTGAGCATTTGATTTTTCACTGTGAATAGACAAAAGTGATCCCTCATTGCTGCTTTGGGCTGAGTGGTCTGTGGCCATGGAGCTGAACAACTCCAGATGAATTCAGAACATCTGCAAGCTTCCTCTCCAGGGAAGATTTTGGTGTTTGTTACTACCAGCACATTTCAGCCATCTAGTCATCTGCTTGGTCCAGACAGAACCAACATATTCCCAACATATTTGTCTGAAAAGATCTAATCATGGAAATTTCAGTCTTTACAGCTGGGCTCACAATAATGCCTACCCCAAATTTTCCTGGCTGCAAATTAGATTGCTGCTTTTGGATGGCTTGTAGAGCATCTCATCACCATCTTCTTTATAGCAATGCTTGTCTATACTGGATGGTTTCTGTCATGTCCTCTTCCCTTCCCTTTTCTCAGTGAAGCAGACCCTCACCTCTCACTCCTTCCTGATCACATTTTGTGCAACTGATTTTGTAGATCTTCACTGGTGTCTTCCGGAAATCTCAATCTGAAATAACATTCTCACAGAACCCCTGATGTCAGAGAGACAGAACAAGAAGGAATGTCATTTTATATATTCCTTCCCGAGTTCTTCCAGCCCAAGAGAGAAGTTCAGTGGGGGAGGCAGACATTCATACACATGGCTAAGCTCTTGGCTAATTAAACAGAGGAAAATGAAGCTTCTGTCTGGAGCACTTCAGCCACAAGTGAACCAAACCAATCTTCCCCAAGTCTCAGGGCACCCCAAAGGTGCTCTAAATTCCTTCAGGATGCTTTTCTGGAAGCTGGGAGTTCCCCACAATGCCAGAGACCCTCAATAGATCTCTTGTGTCTCTTGTGCCATCAGAGAGGGCAGGAAGTCTGACTGCTGAAAGTCCTTTCACTGATCCAACAGGGATCTGAGGTTAGGAGTTACCTCACCCCCAGGTGTTCAGCAATGCTGTTACAAGTTATGACATTCAGCCCAGGCTTTAGACCCAAGCACACACTTCAGCCTGCTCGCCCCTGCTCTGCTGGCCACAGCCCACAGGATGAAACCCTCGTGGCCTCATGAAAAAGCAACATTATTAGAATGTTGCCCTGGAGTTAAAAAGAATTATTTGATAAAAGCCTATAAACTGAACAAGCAGACTTTCAACATCACAAGTAGGTTCTACAAAATGCTTTTAATGAAATGAAATTTCAGATGTCCATTAGTTCTGCTGACAGGGAATTATTAGAAGACTGCATCCACGAATTTGCCTGCTGTTTTCTGGAGCACTATTTCCATCCCCTTAATTCACTCATGCTTTTAACTAATCCACAATACTTAGTAAAGCAGCAGCAGAATCCACGGCTTGATTTAAACCAAGCTAGCATTAGTGATTCCCTGCTCTCCTAGACAGAATCAAGCATCTAAATCCTCATGTCTTTGAACAACCAGCTTCCTGTTCATAAAATAACCTCCTGGTTGTGCTCAGCATGTGGAACTGATTCTTTACACAGCTCTCCATGCAAGAATCTGCTCCCAGAGAAAACTTTGCTTCTCTTACTTCACGCTTATTCTCAGGTTCCATGTTCTTCAGGAATTTGTGCCTTCCATGAGCAGTGCATGTGTGTGCAAGTGGGATTTCCCAGAGCAGCTGCCTTCCACCACAGCACATCTCCAGCCCTAGTAAGCTTCTCCCTAGCAAATAACAGCATCTCCCATCAGTAAAGCACCATGGAGAGAAAGGCACCCAAAAGCAGTAGCAGTTTTACTGTTGTGGAGCCTTTTTTGGGGGTCAGGCAGTGCCTGGCAGTGCTGGGAGCTGCACTCCAGGCCAGCCAGAGCCTTCATCAGCCTTAAGGAGGAGCCCAAAAGGAGCCGTGTGTGTGAGCAGGGTCAGAGCTGGCCAGAGGAGAAAGGATCTACTCATTTGCATGACTTCTTCTAAGCTTTTTTTAACACAAAATTTGAGGGTTAATCAGGTTTGGTACAGATATCTCTATATATCAAAAACAGAAACTCCTCACAGCTTGATTTTAGCCATGGATGTAGCAGAGAGTACTGCAATCCTAATTCCTAAAAAAGGGGGCATTGTGTATTAATCTTTTTGCTGGGATTTGGGTTTTTTTTGAGAAAAGCCCATTTTGCCCTGTAACAGAGGCTAGACCTTTTCATGTCCCTTTCTTTTAATGATTTAGGGAAAGGAGGGCACAGCTACCAATACTGCCCTCAATTCATATTAACTCTTCCATCAAAAACTGAAGCTTTAATAAAAAAAAAAATCTAAAAAAGGAAAAAAGCTAAGCCTTTTCCCTAGGTCAAGCACTTACTGCATTTCTTCTCTTTTTTGTCACCATGATGTGGAATTTCTTCCATCACAGCCTGTTTAACACTCAGCTCCCTCATCTATTTCATCTCTATAAACAGCAACTCAGAATAAAAATACAGCTGAGCTGACAGTCAGGGAGCATCTCCTGCCTGGCAGCGATCCTGGCTGGTAACAGTGCCCATCGCTGAGATGGAGAGAGGGCCCCGGGGCTGCAGCAGCCCCAAACATCCCCACAGGGCGTGTTTGCAGGCACCCTGCGGAGTGCAGGCGATGGGGTCGCTTTAACCCGCTCTTTCTCCTTTCCCCGGCTCTCCCGCAGGCCCCAACGCTTTCACGGAGGCGGTGGCGTACATCCAGACTCAGTACGAGAGCAAGAACAAGTCGGCCAACAAGGAGATCTACACTCACATCACCTGCGCCACCGACACCAACAACATCCAGTTCGTGTTCGACGCGGTCACGGATGTCATCATCGCCAACAACCTGCGGGGATGTGGACTCTACTGAAGGCTGCTCCTCCCTGCTCTCCTGGCGCCGCCCGAGCATCCTTCGCTCCCGCGGACAGGTCCTCCCTTTCCTTGCTTTTTCCTCCTCAGAAGATGACAAGGAAGAAATACATAATTCCCTCCTCCTGTCCCAGAAAACTCTGCAGCAAGTTCTGCTTTCCCCAGACCCGTTTTATTTTATTTTGGTTCATTTTTGGTTCATTCCCTTGCTGCCCCGTTCTACTCCTCCGTTCCAATTCACAGTGTTGTGCAGGGAGCTAACGCATTTCCCACGAAGTGCATTTCAACTGCCAAAAGACAAAAATACTTCAGTTTTAAAGAGAGGAAAAAAAGCCTTAAAATACTGGTCAGGAACAGTGTAGTTTGGAACCAAAACTTTTATTTTGCCTTGAAAATTAAGGGATATTGTTCATTCTCCTGGTTATTTGCCTTTTTAAAAAAACATTATTCCTTTGGGAAGTGCTAAATACAACCTGATCATTTTGAGGGTACCTTACAGCTCCAGTTGTGACCCCAAAGCTGGAGGGTTTGGTGTTGAATGCAGCCACCATAGCTCAGATTTGTACATTCTCCTTTTTTCCAGACAGCTATTTGAACAAGTAAAACAGCCATATCGAGTTCTGCTGGTGTCTGAGTAACAGAGACACAGTAACCAAGCCTACTAAGCCTTGTCTAAAAGCATTCATTACTGGTAGCAGTTTTACCTCAAGGTTTTCAAAATTAATGATAAAATGTATCTAGTGGTTGCTGTAACCCATTTCTGAGGCACTTCCATGGGGGCCATGGAGGCACTGGGCTGGGACCCCTGGAGTGCAGGCAGTGAAGATGCCCTGATGGAAGCTCCACACTCAGTGGCATCCTGACAAGGAATCCAGCCTGGGGACCTTTCCCACAGCACCTCCCAGTAGAGGTGATGCTCCTGCAAACACACAGCATCACTTTCCAAACTTCAGCCTTGAAATGCTGGGGAGCACAAAAAATATTTAACCCTGGCTTCTTGTAGGCAGAGTCTGACTATCAAGTGCCTGAGATGGGGAAAGGTGCTTTGGGAAACCTCCCTGTGCTTGGGCAGCAGCAATGTGTGCAAGAACCTCGTGGCCCTACATTGCCCCTTGGGCATCTAAACCCCTTGAGAAGCCCAACCTTGTGCTCTGAGCCTCCTTGGCTGAGCACAAGCCAGTGGCTTTCCTGTGTCACCTCCTGCCTGAGCATCCCAGAGACAGCTCCAGGGTTGGTGTCTCCAGTCAGGGCATCTCTTCACCAGTATTGAGATGGATGGCTAACAGTGGCAGAGGAGAGCTCAGGAAGCTGATTTGAGTCAAGTGATGGAGTAGGAAGGAAAAGTGCAAGGGAAGGAAGAAGGAAGGGCAGGAGAGAGGAGTGAGAAGGACGAGGGTAGCACCCAGCACAGCAAAACTGGGGGCTCAGAGAGGACAAAGGCAGGAGAGCTGAGGTATGTGTGTCCACCACCAAGAACTCTGGGTGCTGCTGAGTCAAAGGCAGAAGAGAATGTGAGAGGTGGGATGTCACCTCTGGGGACTCTTAGAGGTCCACCCAAAAGCTTGTTAGTGTCTGGGAGAGACAACAACCTCTGAGGTCCCACTCAGAGCCCACCTCACCTGGGGGCAGGTGGGCAGTGTTGATCCGTGCCTCTTCTCTGCCTCTCTTAAGAGTCAATTATCTTGAAAAGCATGAATCTTTGCAGGCTGGCCAGAAGTTCAGCTGTTCTCTCTTTGGAGCCTGATCTAGGAGTGGCTTTCAGGTCTCAGGAGGTCTCTTCAGGGCTGTGGTTGAGAGGGACAACATCTCTTCTCACTGTGCCCATTTAGGAGAGGGTGTGAGAGCAGCCCAGAGCAGCACAGCCCCAGGAGGAGGGGCCAGGTGAGCGTCAGTGTTCAGGAGGCAGTGACAGGAACACATATGGTGGCACAGGAGGGAGAGGACAGTGGGAGAGGCTTAGGGAACATTTTGGGAGAGAAGCTGCAGAAGGGAGATGAGGCAGACTGAGACAGCAGGAAGGATGGGAAGAGAAGGGCACCTGGGAGCCAGAGGAGAGTCCCCATCAGGGGCTGTGCTCTGCCAGGACAGTATTTGTGGGTCATTTGTGACAAATGCCCAGGCAGGGATGTGAGCACCCTGAGGCCTGCAGAGGAAAAGGAGGTGTCTGTCACCCATCCAACCAGCTACAGCCCAGCATGGCTGGTAACTGTCAGTAACCCCTAGAGAGCATTAAATGATGCATTTACTATTGTGCAGCAAGGATCTGCTGCTGCTCTGCTGGGCACTAACAGCAATAACACAACTCCCTGCCTCCCCTGCTCTGGCACAAGCCAGCACCCACCTTTCTCTTCACCATCTCAGCCTTAAAATGCCTCCAATGACATCGGCTCCTGCAAAGAGCTGGCCAAAACAGGAGTTCCTCTCTGCTCCTTGTGCCACAGCCCACCCACACATCTGGCTGAGCCCCAGCAGCAACACCCAGCATCCACGTGGGTGTTGTACAAAGCCCAGGGCAAGAAAAACCACAGATTGGTTACATTTGGTACCTAAAATGTGTAACCACTGGACCCAGAGTGATGCTGGCAGGGAGGCAGGTCTTTTATTAAGTTCTGTAAGAACAGTTTGATCAGAAGCACTGGAGTTTTTGAGATTTTCTGTTCCCACCCCTTGCTGTGAATGATGTTTTATCCAAGCAAATAAGTAACAGAAGCTGTTCCCAGGGAAGGCAGCACCACACCAAGGCTTTGTAAGCTCCCAGCATAAAGCACACAGGAATATTTTGGTAAAGACAATGTAAATTAACTCCAAACTCTGCCAAATGCAGTCAAGTGGCCAGTGCTGGCTCGGTGTGCTTTTACTGCTCCCCAGGCTGGATTCAGGTAACCCATTCCCAGCTTTGCCAGCTGGGAGGTCCAAGCCCCCTCTGCAGCTCCAGCAGGTCCCTGGCACATTGATGACCATCAACAGCTGGTGCCCCATGGGGAGAAAAGGGAGAAAAAGCAGAGGAAATGTTGCCACAAAGAGCCTCTTCTTTCATTTTCTTTGGCATATTGTGTGTCTAAAGCTTCATCTCAGCTGCTGCTGCTGACATTCCCTCCCTCACACGAGTGTCATGAGGATTCACTGACAAATGCTGGAAGCAGCCTTTGGAAGATTAAATGCTTCCAGTGTTAAACACTACTATTTCTCCTGCTTGATGGCCATGTATAGATTTGTGTCTCCAGAACTCCTGCCAAATCATTACTCATTGCTGGCTTCTGCACCCTCCGAAGCCCTTCCTGACAGATGTGCCTTCTGCAGGCAATCTTTTGCCCCATGCTTTTTCTAAACACCAGCAATTCTTGCAGCAGTTGCCTAAAAAGTACCTTGAAATACATTGCCTGCTTTCAAAAGGCTTTTCTTAACAGCCCCTTGTGCTTTGCAATTGCTGCGCTCTGAATCCAGACTCTTGGAGATCCAGAGCTGTGTTTCATTTGCAGCCTCCACAAAGCAGGGTTGTTGCAACTGGTACAGCTGCATCAGAAATCCTACCAGGGCATGGAGGACAGATTTTAAAAGCACAGAATAGAAACAGCTATGTATACACCCTGCTGCCCTTCAAAGCGAATGTGGGAATTTGCAAAAAAAAAAAAAAAAAAAAAAGCCTTTTTTTGGGATGCAGAAGGTTTTTAGTGACTCAGGTCACTGTTCCAGCAGCAGAAGCATCCAAGGGGTGTCAGCACTGAAAGTAGCATTAGCAACTCATGATGAGCTTCAGACAGCAGCAAAAAGAAAGAAGGAAGCTCCCTGTCGGCTTGGCTTGCTTCATAGTCAGTGAGAGGGTCGGTTGTGGAGCCATGAGACCACAAAAATGCAAATAGCTTCTTTATTTAAACAACAATTTCAATGAAATAGAGAAACCCACACAAGAAAAGTCTTGCAGCAGTGCCGGGCCAAGCTGCAGAGCTCCTTGGGAGGATGCAGTAGCTGGGCTGGCTGGGAGAACGAGCAATAACCATGCACTGCGAAAGCACACACTAAAATCCAGCACCAGGCTGCCAGAGGCAGTGTTCAATCCTGCACACAGACGTGGCACACGGGCTGGCTCTCGCAGGGCCCGCGGAGCGCCGGCAGCGGGAGGCTCGGCGCGGCCACCTGCCCCTGCCAGCACAGTGCCCGCTGCTGCCTGCCCACACCGCCAGCTACAGCTCTCAGGAGTTCTGTACTGGAATTAGCTTCTTGCCTTCAGGCAGCTTTCCTGGATGGCCGGCCAGCCTGTCCCTCCGTGCAGGGGAGAGCTGCTCAGGAGGAGCCTGCCGTGCCTCCTCTACCCATGTGATTTCGTTTCACAGGACACCAAAAGTATTAATGAGGGCGGTCTTTAATGTACACTGAAACATATCTGCTGGGTTTAATCTATCATGGCATGAGCCCAGTGCTTGCCTGCAAGGGAACAGACCTTGTTCTCAGTCCAGGAGTGCAGTCTCCAAGAGCTCAGGATGTGACATAGAAGATGTCCTTTTGCCAGGAATCCCCATGTTCCCAGCCTCACTGTGCAGCTCAGCAAGGCAGACATCACCCCTGGGGGATTTGCAGTCAGTGCTGGGAAGGGGACCAACCCTGCACTGTTAGCTTGTGTGACATGTCCCAAGCCTTTTGTGGTCACAAAGTCTCCTGGAGCCAGGGAGAGTTGCTGAGTTCCTGGAAGAAGGCTGACCATCTGTCAAGTCAGTTAGAGAAGCTTAGTTCCACTGTGATTGGGTGTTTTCATGGTTTGTCTTCAGGCTTACCACCAAAAACTCCACAACCATTTCCAAGGAGACTAAAACACTTCTTGGTGATCTGACACTGGACATGTCAAGGTCAGTAGGAATGGTGTTACTGAGCATCACCCTGGGCACCCAGACCCATCACTCACTTGCATCCCCAGTGCACACACGAGAAAGCAGAGACGTGGTCCAAGTGGCACAAAATTGCAGACCACAGTCCTGCCTCCACCTCCCTGCAGGAGAGAGCAGGCAAACAGACCCCGAGGCTCCCTGAGACGAGGGTACTGTGTCATTTCTGAGCTCCAGCGCTGACACGAAGTGACTGATGCTGACAGATATAGGTACGTGACCTATATAGTTATACTGAGAATGTGTATGGGGCAGGACTTTGCACAGGACCACTCATGCCCCAGCAAGCAGCCTGTGAGATCTTTATTTGTGTGCAAACACAAGCAAGGGCAGCCCTTAAACACCGATGCCTTAGTGAGAGGAGGACCAAAGCCTCCTGTGGCACCCTGCAGGCAGAGGGAAAGGGAGTTGGATTCAAGAAACAGCCCCATCTTCCCAGGAGGGCAGCTCTGTTCATGGACACTGGGTGCAGTAGGCACAGGGAGGAGAGACCAGGAGAAGAGGTAGAGGGGCTGGGAGCTGGCAGGATGCTCACTGCCCAGGCCCTCTTCCACCCAGTGTCTGGGAAATCAAGAGCCAGTCCTGACTGTAGTGCAGGCAAGCAGCTCCAGAGCTAAAGCTGCTGCTCCAGGTGGGGAAAAGAGATCATGGCAGGTAAAACACCATTTTCAGCTGTGCCTGAGTCTCACCAGCTTTTCCAGTGCTGGACCAACCTGGTGGTGCTGGGCAAGCAGATAGGATTGTTTAAGCACCAGCCATGGCCCTGTTAATTAGCCCAGTCCCTAATTTGTGCTCCTCAGCCCTATTCCCCCACCTCCTTTTTCCCACTTCAGCTCGACAAGGGAAGAGTGACCATCACCCTGCCTCTGGGCTCCCTGCTCCCCATCACATTTCCCAGAGGATCACCGGAGGCCGTCACCATTTTCCTTTTGCTGGTTCCCGCTGAATCATTTCTCCTGCATGTTTGATGGCCCAAACTGTATTAACTGTAATTTTGTATGAAGAGTGACTGTCCATTGGTTTAATAGAGCATTAGTTATTGTAATAATTTATTGGCTGTTGGTAATGTATTTATTAGTTTCAAAATGTTAATAAAGTGCCAGCTCTTTTCTAGTGTGAGAGTGGTTTTATTGTGTCTCCCTTGAGCGCGTCCAGCTTCTCAAACTTGTTATTTAACCTTATTTCTGCTCCACAAACCCTTGCACAACACACAGCACCAGCTGTCTGCCAGAGCCTCATCCACCTGGAAATAAGGAATTTCAAAAGGATATAACCAAAAGATACTTCATTTTATGTAAGTATTTGGCAGGATTTTTTTTCCTTTGCTCACCAGAGGCGGCAGCAGGGCAGAGCATCCGTGCTGCCCCACTGTTTCCTCCACCACATCAGTTACAAATCCTTCACAAGTCACAGGCTTTGCTTTTCCCCTGTCTCTCTGTGTGAGCACAAAATCAGAGGACCCACTGCTGATTCACTTCAGCAAATGATGTGTTCTCCTCCTTGCAATAGCACAAAACATGGAGCATCCCTCCCTCCCTTTCTAACAATGCTTCAGCCAGTTTTTTCTTTTATGTTTAAACTAAAGATCTTCCATTATTTGGGGCATAATATAGTAGTGATGAACTTGAAGAAACCAAGATAAAATTTTCTATAAACCTCAGCAAAGAAAAATGAACCATTGCTCCTATTGACTTCACCAACTTCCAGTGATGTGACTTCAGCTGGACCCATCCTCAGACAGGAATTCCCACATGGCCCATCCTATGAATCAAACAGAACTATAGGCCAGCCTTGAGAAAAGCAAATGGCTGAGAGGGAAAGGATTTTGCTTTGTGTATTGATACTGGGGATTTTTAGAACTTTCTCCAGGATACCATCCTGCTCAGATTCTGTCTGAGTGTTCAGAACCCTGAAATCATCAGGGTTGTTTTGGCTGAATGGGAATTCACATTTCCCTGGGCAGAAGCTTTATTTCAGCTGATCTTCCATCAACACCATCACTTCTTTATTTAAATATAATACATGTATAGGACAACAATGGAGATGAACAAGGAAAAGCCCATCCTGATACTCCCCATGAAAATCTCAAGACCCAGCAATTCTGCAACAACCACAAGTCAAGAAGAACCACATCCTTTGGTGGCAGTTTCTGTTTTCCCTATGAATAAAGCCCTTTTTTATTTCAAGATAAGGATCAAATTGAAGTCCCAAGGCTTTGGAAAGCGCCTGCCTGGCATCCCCAGCTACTCTTTGTCAAGGAACCGACAGTGCAATCTCGAAGCCTTTCAAGATGAAATCAGACAGCTGCTAAATTTTGCATGCAAAAGCTCCCGTTGAAGTGGAGCTAATAAAATGACTCACTAATAAAACATTCATGGAAAACTCCAAAATGTGTAATTGGGTCATCATTTCATTAGCAAACACACGTGTTCTCGCGAATTTTGGTGAGTCCAGAGCCCCCTTTGCTGTGCCTCCAAAAAAAGGGGCTGTGGGGGGATGTTCTGGGGGGTTGTTTGCTGCAGAAGGGTTCCCCACCCACTGCAGAGCCTTTCCAGGAGATTTCCACAAGGCTTTTGTGAGCAGCTGTGTCCCCATGTGAGCTTGAGGCAGCTGAGCCAGAGCTGGGGGCTCAGCCCCCAGCAGGGCTCACGGGGAGCGGCAGCGACTTCAGACTTCAGCAAGGCCTGGCTTGGCACCAGGAGCTCTGCCAGGTCAAGCTGGGACACAGGGAAAGGGACACAGGGATTTCTGAAATGTCCCCCAGAGCTGTCAGTGGACTAGCAGGGAATGGCTTTCTGGTGGTTCTAAGAGCAAGTTAATGATGGAGAAAATGCTTGGGAGCTCTTGGAGGGCCAGGTCTGTCCTGTCCAGTGGCACCTTCACCCTAACAGAGAGCGCATGCACCTGCATGGGAACCCCCTGCTCTGAGGGGCCCTGTGGCACCCCGTGGGGCACAGGACAACCTCACCCCACCTCACCTCCTCCTGTTCCGCTGTCTGCTCTCCACTTCTTAAGAACCCTTGGTAGCATAGGGGAAAGATGACTATTTATAGTGTTTGTCCACATGCAAATGGGGAAAAAAAAAAAAAAAAAACAAAAACCAGCAAAACAACAGTTTTTAGAAATTTACCCTTACACTCCTACCAAAGCTTTTCCAAGCTTAAAGTCTCCCTGGAGCAGCCTGCAAGGCCAGAACTCTCAGGAGAGCTGGGAAGTGGGCTGGCAGAGGCACCTGTACTGGTTACCACCATGCAGGTTTACCTCCTTGGGTCACCCAGCCACCACAGGTATTTTCAAAGCTGAGCTGAAGATTTTTCCAGGGACAGGACCTGCCCCAGCCTCTGGGCAATACCTTGGCACTGGTCTCACTACAATGACACCACTCAGTGCCAAGTACCCTTCCAGGCAGGTCCATAGGGCCACCCTGGGGTGGCCAAAGCCCTTTCCATCCCACCCTCCATGCCAAGTGTGCCCAAGCTGATGCTGTCTGTCCATCCTTTACTTGGGCTCTCCAAAGGATGCTTCAGGGGCATCCAGTCCCTGAAGAGAGACAGGGCCCTTCCCTACTCCTTTGGCGAGGGAGGGGAAGAGCAAATTACTTTTATCCCTGCTCTTCCTTGAGGTTTCAAGTGTCTGCCCTGCGGAGTGGTCCCAGGGATGTGGGGAGGATCAGCTGCAGCCCCACACCTGCCCTGGCCTCCAGCCCAAGAGGAGCACAATACCCCATTTTCCTCCGCCTTTGTAACCAGCTCAAATTTACCAGTGTCTTACTGTAGAGATT